TAATTTATTTAGCCTTAATGTCATATTTTGGTTTTCTAAAGAAAATCAATCAAGGCCCTTTTTTTCAAGAAGAGGAAGAAAATCTACTTGGGAATCTGAAATTCTTTAAAATATTTGTATAAGGCAGAAGTCAGCATAAAATGATTAAGGCAAAGGAAGACACTGGAAAGAGTACAAAAGCCAAAGGCAACAATACTGTTACATGCCCAATTCTGTAATAACAGTAATAATAATCTACAAGTGAATACATAGATGAAGACACTGAAGCTGAAACAAGGTAGTAAGTCAAATGGGACTCCACCCACAAAACAGAGAGAGATTTTACAGAGGATATTTCTATGTATGTATTTAGCCAAAAGAACCAATAGATCTGTTTTGGAAGAAGTGCAGCCAGAGTGCTCCTTGGAGGCCAAGATGGCCAAACTTCATTTCTGATACTTGGAACATATTGTCAGGAGGGACCAGTTGCTGGAGAAGGATATATCATGTTTGGTCAGAGAAAAAGAGGAAGACCCCCAATGAGATGGATTGGCTAAGTGGCAGCATCGATGGACTCAAGCGTGGCAACAGTAGTGAGGTTGTCCCAGGATCTGGTAGTGTTTCGTTCCACTGTGCATAAGGTTGCTGTGAGTTGGTACCGACTTGATGGCACCTAACAACAACAACAAAACTATATCCTTGGAAATAGTAGAATATACAGGGGACAACATTATGAAAACTTCTTAGCCATACCAAACACGTTGAAGGACTGAGTTATTGGGGCTGGATAGGCTGGAAGGCTCAGAACCATAGTCTCAGGGACACCAATGTCAATTGACATAACACAGTCCATAGCAATGTTGTCCATCCTACTCTGCTGAGTAGCAACTGGATTGTTATTTCTTTAAGCAAGTGGAGTTTTAAAAGCTATGAGCAGCCACCTAAGGTACAACTATTGGCAGAATACAGATGCTTTGTTGCGAACTGCAAGGTCAGCAGTTTGAAACTACCAGCTTTTCCTTGGGAGAAAGATGAGGCTTTCTGCTCCCGTAAAGATTTACAGCCTCGGAAACCCTGTACACGGTCGCTATGAGTCGGAACCAACTCCACGGCACATAACAACAACAACAAGGTGCAACTGGAGTTCTGGTGTGGCACTGTGGGTTAATGCGCTGGACTGCAATGTCAGGTGGTTCAAGCTCACCAGTTGCTCCTTTGGAAACCTTATACAGGGTTGCTATGGGTTGGAATAGACTAACTAGCACTTATCAACAAGAGCAACAAGGGGCAACTGTAGTCCCGGTGTGATGCTGTAGCATAAGCACTGGACTGCTAACCACAAGTCGGCAATTCAAATCCACCAGCCGCTCCTGGGAAACTCTATATAGGGTCAATATGAGTCAGAATCATCGGCACTTAACGGCAAGGTGGAACTGTTGGTCTCTCCCTGACTAGAGCCAAAAATAGTAAAGAAAATCAAAGATGCAAGAAATCAATTAGTCCAAAGGACTAATGGACTATGTGAACCTCAGCCTCCACAATCCAGAGACAAAAAGAACTAGATGGTACCCAGCTACCAGGGCTGATAGCTCTGAAACGGATCTCAATAGGAGGTCCTGGACAGAATGGGGAGGAGAGAATGAGCAACAAAACTCAAAATCGTTTAAAAAAAAAGGCTGGGTTTACTAGTCTGAAAGAAACTGGTAGAACCCCCAATAGAAAATGGTAGAACTCTGGAGACTATGGCCCTTAGACACCCTTCAGGCCTGGAACTGAACTCACCCTCCCACATGGACTCAATTGTCAGCCAAACAATAGCCAAGCCTATAGGGTGAACAATCATAACAGGATGGTAAGCACTCCTTGGAACCCTGGTGTGGCGCTGTGGGTTAATGTGCTAGACTGCAAAGTCAGTTTGAACTGCAAGGTTGGTGGTTCAAGCTCACCAGTCACTCCTTGGAAACCCTCTAGAGGGTTGCTATGGGTCGGAACCAACTCGACAGCACTTAACAACAACAACATGCACTCCTTAGAACCCTGGTGTGGTGCTGTAGGATAAAACCTGGACTGCTAACCTCAAGGTCTGCTGTTCAAACCCAGCAGCCATTCCTTGGAAACCCTATACAGGGTTAGTATATAAGTCATAACCCATTCAAAGGCACTTAACAGCAGCAACAAACACTCCTTAGAAAATCAACCATACAAATCACACTGATAGCATTTACTCAAGAATAACGGCAGGAGTCCTGGTGTGGTGCCATAGGACAAGCACTTGACCTCAAGGACGGTTTGAACCACAGGGTCAGCGGTTCAAACTCACCAGCCACTCCTTGGAATCCCTATACAGGTTCGCTATGAGTGGGAACCAACTCAATAGCACTTTCAAAAGCAACAACAAAGCTCAAAATGTACGAAGGGACAGAAAAGAAGAATAAAAATGGTAAACACAGTCTGGAAGCAGGAAGAGTGTTGCTTCATTGTGGGAATTGCAAACAATGTCTTTAAGTAAATGAATTGTTGGGTGCAAAACCAATTTGCCCAGGAGACATCAAGACAAGTGGTTGGGTCCCCTCAGGGCAAACCCCCTTACAAGACTAAGACACAATGGGAATACACGAGCAGACCCACATTGGTCACTGATTAGGGGAAGTACGGGAAAAACAACAATGAAACTGTGAGCTAAATCCAACCACATTCAGTAGACTCCTGTGAACCCGCATAGAGACCTGGTTGGCCAGCAGTTTGGCAAGACCTGGGGACTCCTGGACCCAGAGTCAGCGACATAGCCACAGAGGACTAGAGTAAAGAATAAAGTGTCCAGCTGATATGAAGAAAGAACACCCACACTTGCAGATAATACCCACTTGACCTGGCTTCAATGGCTGGATGATCAGAGCTCAACTAGAAGAAGAAAGAATAGGAAAAAAAGAGTAATCTGATGCAATTTGATGACCTTGACCTACACCTATGGAATCAGTAGCTCAAAAGAGGGAACAAATGTTTACAACAAGGATTATTCCCACCTCCTCAGTACACACGGTAGACAGGGATGGGCAACTTGGACATTGGAGCCTAGATCCAGAGGGCTCGGAGGAGAGTGGAATCTCCACTGAGTAGTATCCAATCTGTCTGGGCGGGGCTGATGAAAGGAAATGGAGATAACACTCATGTGGTACAATAGTGAATAATTGCTATCAGGACTGACTGTGAGGATTGGAAATGTAAAGGCAGACATTTTGTAGCAAAAGGAGGGGAGTGGTTGACTTTGCAGTCTAGGAACGGAGGTCCCTGGGACCATCAAGGGAGAAGGGCAAAGTGCAGGACCCTACCCAGAGAAACAGTGACACCAGAGATGGAGGCAGAGATGATGACATGGAGAGTTGGAGTGGCTGGGAACTCTAGACCCAGAAAGGGAGAGGGGCTGTGTGTTGAGGACCAGGGGGCAGGCTTGCAGGGTGTACCCTTTGGTTGGTTGATGATGCATGGAGGGGATTGTAACCATGGCAATGTAACAATATACAATAGGATGAATGTAAACCTAATGTTCTCCCATGTAAACTATCATATAATTCACAATAAAACAGGTTTTTTTTAAATTTTGCTCAATAAACTTTTACCCAAATCACAATAACAAGTTTATTTTTCACTAGGAAATAATTTTTGATTGGGAAATTATATTTGTATAAATTATCACCTTGATACAGACTGTCTCATATCCCATGAGAATGTCTTGTTTCTTTCAGCCTCACTGTCAGAAACCAAGAAGATCAGAGAACCAGGAGGGCTTCCCAGGAACTCAGAACAGAAGGCCCCCCGATCTGTGAAGAAAGGTGAAACCTCATGTAATTAAGGTCACCAAATCGACAAAAACATCATCTATATTATTTTGCATTATATGTTTCAACAAAACTCATAGTGTGGACTCACCTTCCCACCATGCAGAACTCATTTTAAATCAATGTATGACAGAGAAAAATCAGTGCCATTATTAAAATCCATTCCATTTGCTAATCATAAATATGTTGATACTTCTTGACAAAACATATATTTCATTTTCATATGTATTTAAAAAAAAAAACAAACAACAGACTAGAATATATACATATTTGGTCTTCAGGAAAATTTAAGTCCTTTTTTTTTCTTAGCTGTAAATTTGCACTAAATGGATAATGTGTTATTTATTTAACCTGGATATTTTTTAAAGAATTTTAAAGCAAACAACACAAAAAATTACTTTTAAGAATGCCAAACATGCAAGTTTTTGTTGTTTTTTTCACCATCATATTATCAATCCATTTGCTTTCACTTAACTATTTTTATAACTATATTGGTATTATAAATAGCCTATAAAATTACAGCTATTAGACAAATATCCTAAAAACATTATTAAAGTAGATTTTATATTAAATTGTGTCTTTTAGAGAAATATCTAATAATTTTTAAAAGCTGAAAATGTTTTTCATTCTTTATTTTTATTTATCCTTAATCCAGATATTTTGAATTCTGGCAAGCATGTAAAAATCTTCAACAATTTTTTACTTTGTTAAAAATAGCTTTTATTTTGTGTATTTCACCACCCTCAAAAGCTTTGTGTATAAAAGCTTTGATATTGTCTCTGAGTATCACAATGTTTATGTGCTACTAGCCTAACAGTTGACAGTTTGAACTCACCTAGAAGTGCCCTGGTGTGGTGCCATGGGTTAATGCACTAGACAGCAAGGTCCATTTGAACCACAAGATAGGCAGTTCAAGCTCACCAGCCTCTCTTTGGTGACCCTACATAGGTGACCCTATATGGCACATAACAACAACAACAATTGCCCTGAAAGACAGCCTTGACAATCTGCTCCGAAACATCACAACCGTAGGGCACAGTTCTGTACTCTGGCATAGATAGCACATAAGCATGATAAAAGTAAAAATGTATCTTTTGAATCCTCATATTAAAATAACATATTTTGTTGTACTTGGGTGCCCTCTAGTCGGTTCTCACACTTAGCCACCCTACACACAACAGAATGACACAGTGCCCAATCCTGAGTCATCCTCACAATTGTTATGTTTAAGCCCATGGTTGCTGCCTTTGTGTCAGCCCATCTTGTTGGGGATCTTCCTCTTTCTTCCTAACCCTCCATTTTACCAAACAAGTCCTTCTCCAAGGACTGGTTCCTCCTGACATCCAAAGTACCAGAGATGAATTCTCCCCATCCTAATAACTTCTAAGGTTCATTCTTAATTTACTTCCAGGACACGTTTGTTCTTTTGACAATCCATGGTACTTTCAATATTCTTCTCTACCACCATAATCCAAATGTGCTTATTCTTCTGTGATCTTCCTTATTCACATACATTTGAAGCTATTGAAAATACTATGGCTTGGGTCAGGCATACTTTGACATCTTTGTTTTGAACTCTTTAAAGAGGTCTTGTGTAGCAAGACACTTGACTTCCATGAGCATTGGTTGTGGATCAAATCAAAATGAAGTATTTGACAGCTTCAATCTTCTCTCTGTTTAACTTGATGTTATTTATTGATCCAGTTGTGGGGATTTTTGTTTTCATTACATTGAGATACAATTCATTATGAGGGCTGTAGTTTTGTTTTGTTTTGTTTTATCTTCATCAGTAATTATTTCAAGTCCTCTTTACTTCTAGTAAGCAAAGTTGTGTCATCTGCTTATTGCAGGTTGTTACTGAGTCCATCCAATTTAGATGGCACGTTCTTTTTCATATAATCCAGTTTGTCAGATTATGAGCTCAGCACACAGATTGAATAGGTATGGTGAAAGGATACAACCCTAATGCACACCTTTTCTGATTTCGAATCAGACAATAGCCCCTTGTTCTGTTCTAATGACTGCCTCTTGGTCTAGCTACAGGTTCCTCGTGAGCACAAGTAAATGATCTGGAATACCCATTCATCACAATATTATTTATAGTTTGTCTTTACATAGTCAATAAAGCACAGGTAAACATCTTTCTGGTATTCTCTACTTTCAGACAAGTTTCATCTGGCATCAGCAATGATATCCCTAGTTTCAAATCCTCTCTGAATTGGGATTGGATTTCTGGTAGCTCCCTGTCAATGGACTGCTGCAGCCATTTTTTTTTTTTTTTTCTTAAATGTTTTATTGTGAATTATGTGATAGTTTACATGGGAGAACATTAGTTTTACATTCATTCTATCGTATATCATCTCATTGCCATGGTTACAATCCCCTCCATGCAATTCTTCCCCCGTACCCCCCAGGTCTTCAGCACACAGTCGCTCTCCCTCTCTGGATCTAATGCTGCAGCCATTTTTAAATTATCTCCAGGAAAATTTTACTTAAATGTTATACTAATGATATTGTTGATTTTTGCATTCCATTTGTTCACCTTTCTTTGGGGTGGGCACAATTATGGATCTCTTCCAGTTGATTGGCCAAGTAGCTGTTTTCCAAATTTCTTGGCACTGACAACTGAGTGCTTTCAGAGCTGCATCAGTTTGTTGAAGCATTTCCATTTGATTCCATCAGTCCCTAAAGTCTGTTTCACCAGTGCTGTCAGTGCAGCTTGGACTTCTGCCTTCAGTACTATAGGTTCTTGTTCATATGCTACCTCTTGAAATGGTTGAGTATCAACCAATTCTTTTTGGTACAATGACTTGGTATAGTCCTTCCATTTTCTTTTGATACTTTCTACATCAATATTTTGCCCATAGAATTAATCAGTATGGAAACCTGAGGCTTAATTTTTTTTCTTCAGTTACTTCAGCAAATGCTAAGTGTGCTTCTCCTCCCTTTTGCTTTCTTTACTCCAGGTCTTTGCACATTTCATTATAATATTTGCTTTATCTTCTTGAGCTGCTCTTTGAAATTTTCTGTTCAACTTTTTGTACATCCTCATTTCTTCCAGTTGTTTTAACTTCTCTCCATTCAAAAACATGTTTCAGAGTCTCTTCTGAAACCCACTTTGGTGTTTTCTTTCTTTCCTGTTTTTTTAAATGAGCTTTTTCTTTCATCATGTATGATGTTCTTAATATCATCCCACAACTCTTCTGGTCTTCGACCATTAGTGTCTAATGCATCAAATCTTTCTTGAGATGGTCTCTAAATTCAAGATCATAATTTTTACTCTCATGGACTTATTTTCATTTTCTTCAGTTTCAGGCTGAACTTGCATATGAGTAATTGATGATCTGTCCCACAGTCACCCCTGGCATTCTTTTGGCTGATGATATTGAGCTTTTCCATCATGTCTTCTCACAAATATAGTTGATTTGATTCCTCTTTTTACCCTCTGGTGTAGTTCTCATGTATAGCTGACATTCATTTTGAAAAAAGATATTTCCATGGATAATCATTTGCTGTTATTGTTGTTAATGGAGTCGGTTTTGACTAATAGTGACCCTGTATAGGGTTTCCAAATCGGGCTGCGAACCTTAAGGTCAGCAATTTGAAATTACCAGCTGTTCTGTGGGATAAAGATGAGGCTTTCTGCTCCTGTAAAGATTTACAGCCTTGGAAACCCTGTATGGGGTCGCTATGGGTCGGAATCAACTCGACAGCACTTAACAACAACAATAGGGTTTCTGAGACTCTAAATTTTTTGTGTGAGCAGAAAGTCTCTCTCCCATGGAATAAATCATTGGCCTTGCAAAATTCTATCATGTGATCTCCAGCATCATTTCTATCACCATGGCCATATTTTCTAATTAGTGATCCTTTCTCTTTGTTTCCAACTTTCACATTCCAATCACCAGTACTTATCAATATATCTTTTTTTTTTAAGTTTTTTTTCTTTTGAATTGAGTGATAGTTTACATGGGAGAACACTGGTTTTGCACTCATCCTATCATTGCAATGATAACTATTCAGTGGGGATTCTACCTTCCCCTGCACACTCTGAAACTAAACTCCCTCTTAAAAACTTGTAAATCAGACACAGTCTCCACTGAATAGTTTTCATCTTGTCTAGATGGGTCTGGTAAAAGAGGTGGGGATAAGATTCTTATGATTCAATAATGAGTAATTGTAATCATGACTAATTGCGACTGTCACAATTGTAACGATAGAAGTTTTGTAACAAAAATGGGTAAGTAGTTAATCTTACAGTCCAGAAACAGAGGATCCTAGGACCATCAAGGGAGAAGAGCACAAGCAGAATACAAGACCTTATCTAGAGAAGCAACGACACCAGAGATGGAGGCAGAGGTGCGGACATAGAGAGAGACAGCAGCTGAGGACTCTAAAGTCATGGGAACAGAGGGACTGATGGTCTGCCCTGTAAACTTTTACTCAATTCACAATAAAAGCATTTAAAAAAAAAAAAAAACTTCTTAGCCAGCTACTTCATGCCTTTATAATACCCTCTCCCTCATTTTAGGTAGCCAATATCTAAGTTGCCCATCCCTATTTACCCTGTGTACAGAGGGGATAGGTTTGATCCTTGATGTGTAGACTCCTTCGCTCTCAGTTGGTATTTTGAGCTACTATATCCATAAGTATGGGTTAGGTTCATCAGATTGTAGCAATTTACACTTGTTTCCTTTATCAAATTTCTTTATCCTCCTCTATTCGAGTTCTGATTATCAGACCATTGAAGTTAGGTCAAATGGATACTACCTCTATAAGGTTCAGCATTCTTGAACATCTCCCTCTTACTTCATATCAGCTGGACACTTTACTCTCAATCTAGCCCTCTGTGACTAGATCCTTGTCCATGAGCTTAGGAGTCCCCAAGTTTCACCACACTTTGGACCAACCAGCCCTTCCTCTTCTCTGTCTCATCTCCAGGTCGATAGGAGTCTATGGAATATGAACAAACTCAGCCCATATCTTCTTTGCTG